GCTATTTAAAGAGATGTTTTACTCAGTTTTTAACTGTGACCACAAGAATTAATAAGACCAAGTGTGCCTACCTCATGTCAATTTATAGTTCAAGACATAAAATGTCTTTATTTCTAAAGCTCAAACATTTGATTTTTATGATATTTATTGAATAACGGAAGCCAGATCTAGTATGGACTTAAAAATAGGTCCGGAACTGCAAGTGTTTAGGAGCTATCCTAAGACAGGAAAACAATGCTTTATAAAATATGTAGTCGAACAAGTCTTAATATTCTGGTTTGGAGAAAAAACTATTGGCTACGTAGTTTTACATGAATACTTTAGAAATTTAAAAAAAAAAATCTAAATGTAAGAGGCCTTGAACAAAACTAGGTTTCTTTAACCAGAGAACAGGGGATTACAGTATTTGAGATTAAAAATGAGTAAATCACAAAAGAACTTGAACATTAATGATTAGGGACCATTCATGAGATATTAGGTACTAATGTCTTTAAGTGCTGCATTACTCAGATCTAAGCTGGTGGGCTTTTACTCCTCCTGGATGGATTTTAACTAAATAGACCTTAGACATTTGGATATAGATAAATGCTTAATTCGGTAATTAGTATTTTAAAACTGTGAAACCTTTTAAGTTAAGTGGTCTATTAATTAACTACCAATTATCTTGTCTGACTACCATATCAATAGAAGTAAATTACCACTAGCTCTTTGACAGATTTAGTCCTTTGCCCGGCAAAATCTCTTCAGAACACAAAAGGCCTGCAGTGAAATGCTTTGCTTCCCCCTTTTGGTTAATCAGGGATCAATGTGCTGCTCAAGTATCAAGGCCAAATGCAGCTCTTTGGTCAGAAAGGACCTACAGATAAATGTGGTGTTTTAGAAGTGGCAAGCTACCCTCAAAAAATAACAAGGGAAGCAGCGCTAACGTTTGGGGGAAAACATGGATTTGCAGTTCCTGTAGGGAGGCCAACTTTCCATATTTCCAAGGAGACCGGAGAAGTATTTTCAAGCTTTTGCATCGCATGAAGATACCGAGAGCCTAAGTGAATGGTTTTGATGATTATGGCAAATGTAAGGTACATTGTCTTGTATACATTCTCCACGGTCTTGTCCTAACCATGACTGTGGCACAGCCGGTTATGCTGACTGGGACCTACCACAAATCTATCACTTCTTTGGGGACCAAGAGAAGGTTTCTAGAAGAGCTGCTGGTGATGGAAGAATACTGGAAGATACAGGATCACAGCCGCCTGGAGGGCTGTGCAGAACACCGCCAAGTGCTGCAAAAACTTCCAGCGTGCACAGAAATAGTAAGAAGCCGGGAAGGAGTTGCAGTGAGAATCGTCTCCTGGAGGCCCGGTCATTGGGAAATATGAATGGCTGCCAGGCACTCAATTTGAGCTTGGTTCTAATTGGTATATTCACACCGGCCCTTCTCAAAGTCACGAGCCTCGTATCGCTGAGCTAAGTTCATACAATATAGTAAAAATGAGCATATAGGCGGGGCAGGGAGGATGGAAAAATCGTGTCGGAAAACAAAAGGAGATACAAACAATGACGAACGTGAGCCAGCCGCATTTTGAAATCTCATCCATCTTACCCCGCATGAATTAGTACAGCATAATGCTTCCCTTCTGAAATCTCAGAAGACAGGCACACGTGAGCATTCTCTGAATAGGTTATGTTCTAAAAATTTAAGCAGGAGTCTCATCTTTATTATCAAACACGTATCGAGCGACTTATGAGTCGAGTTCTGTGCCAGGCAGGGGAAAACAAATAGATGCATATAATAAACTGCCTTCCGACGGCTTTCCCACTGACTTTGGGGTTTCAGGGCATGAAGTCTAAGAAACTACACCAAAGAGCACACACTATGCACCAAGGGATGGGAAGGACAGTAAGGGCTGAGAGATATTCATGGCAAGAAGGAAAAAGCCTTCGACAAGTCATTCACCTGCAGCTTCATCAGAAAACCAGGAGTTGGACCAGATGGTCCCCAGGGACCCTTGCAGTTCAAACATGCAAAACTCCAGAAAAGGGCTGGAGTCGGGAGGGAAGGTTACAGTAAGAACTTGAGCAAGGCCTTCAAAGGTAGACAGAGCGGAGACGAGGCCTTCCAGGCGGGGGGGCGAGGACAGGGAAAGCTTTGGACGTGGCAGCATGCACAGCTTGGTGGCGGATGTGCACACGGTTTCAATTTCACTGCCTGAGACTCTAAGCCTGGGTCAGGACCACCATACTAGGGATCAGTTTATGAAAACAGGCAGCAACTGCTCAAGTCGATCTGTCCAAATGACTGAACAAGTCTTTGCTCTGCTGAGCTGCTTTTTTCAAAGGTATGGGGGCAACCTCTTTTCCCTACCTGGATACAGTGGAAAGACACGCCGGTAATTTTTTTCTGGAAGGAAAGCAGCACGTGCCAACACTGTGCATCTCTGACCAGTTACCATGCACATTTTCCCCTCAGAGGACTACTGGGAGGACTACATCTTCCAGCGGTTCTCAACCTGTGGGTCACGACCCCTTTGGGGGTCGAACGACCCTTTCACAGGGGTCGCCTAAGACCATCGGAAAACAAAAAGATATTTCCATAATGATTCATAACAGTAGCAAAATTACAGTTATAGAGTAGCAACGAAAATAATTTTATGGTTGGGGGTCACCACAACATGAGGAACTGTATTAAGGGGCCGCGGCATTAGGAAGGTTGAGAACCGCTGGCTTAGACCATGTAAACCATCCTTCCCCACCCCACCCCCATCACTCACTATAAATTATGTAAGTCGTCTTTTACATCTTAGTTGCTAGATCTCAATTTCTTCAATGGTTTTTAAGTCTCGGCACGAAGTCAGAAATTCCAACTCGAAAATGAATTTTCTGACTCAATATTGAAAATAAATTCTTAAGTTTAGATGCTTGGGGGAAAAACAGCTGGAGAATTCAGGAGCCTCCCATATTTTAATATGCAGTGACGTCATTACTGTCAGGGCTTCCAAGAACTCCTTAAATTGTGTAGTTAAGCAATATCTCAAAGCTAAGTAGGGACTCTGGGAAGGTGGTTTGTTCCTTCTCTCTATACAGATTCAGCTCCACAATAATATTTCTAGTGGAGATTTAATTTTCTCCTTAGGTTAGAAAGTAGCCTAGTGTTTAAGGTACAGACATCAATGGATGTGCATTTTCAAAGCTGAAGCTGTGGATTTTCTGCAATTAAAATACTCTAAACTAGCTCTCATTTTATAGGATGGCCAATGAAGAGTAGGTGCTTCCATCTTCTAAGCATTCAACTGCAGATCACATGGGGTTTCTTTAAAAAACCTGGTTGCATTTGAAATTTTACAATTTAGCAAAATCACCATGCTGGGAAAGCAGGCAAGATGGCTAAACTGCAGAGTGTTTTGTGTAGGTAAACGTTTGTAGTTTGGAAGGTCCTGGTGTCTGCGGTTCGTAACTAGCCTACTGATGATGGCTGGACATCCGCTTAAGGAGGACGAGTTGGAATTGGCTCGAATTTCTATGGCACCCTCATCCTTACCATTCTTCGCATATGAAAACTACAGCCCACCTGCAATTTATGTGTGTTTTTTATTTTAGATGGCGATTGTTTGTTTTACTCATAAACACACAAGATTCTTGATAAACAGTATTGCCCAGTTTATTCAGTGGTACTGGCCTTTACACATTTGATCCTTCTCTTTGTCACCTGCCCCCTGTTCTTGTGGACCCCGCAGCAGCAAGGTCTTTTATCCATTCCTCACCCCCACTGCATACAGCACACACACTTAAATTTCCCCAAACTGTATCTGGTAATCTTCTTCGTTTAAAACATAATATGCGTTAGCTTACATCATTTATATGCTCATTTCTAGAGGTTTGAAATGAATTAAACAAAGTTCATGTTTGAAAATAAAGCATTAAAGTAGGCTTCTTCCAGGACTAGAGAAATGGTTTGATATTCAAGGGGAACATTTGAATAACTATTTCTAAAGACAGATTAAGTTTTTAAGCAGTTGCTAAAAAATTAATGAGGTTGAATGTGACCTATTTAGGAGAAACAGTCCTTTGTTGTGTTTGATTAGAAGGCTAATCCGCCTATGGGGGAAAGCGAAGCAAAACACACCACCCTATCTCCATACCCTGTCTACAAAAGTAAAGGGGCCAATACTACAGCAGAAGAAAAGCATCAAGTGGATCAACAGTGTACAGTTATAGGTCAGAGTGCAACACCCACCATGACTGAATCAGTTCGGCTGAGAAGCTGGGGTTCGTGCTGTCCCCAGAGCATTAGAAAGACCTCCCCTCTCGTCCTTAGATGCCGGAGTAGCTCTGATGTTCCACCCATCCTCTAGAAGCTGATTTGGTTTAAGTCCCTGGTTCACCAGGCCTTACAACCCCCTAACCCCCTGTATAGTGACTCTGTGGTCCTATCAGAATGACTTTTGTTCCCCTAACAGAGGCATCTTCTAGGCTAAGATGTACTCCAACAGGACAATGTCACAGACACTGCAGATGGTCAGTGGATGCTAAGTGACTGCCAGGGTGGCCTGACCGCTCCCAGCGGACCACAGATGCTGATCTCAGAATCTCTGGCACTTCCCAAAATGTGGCTGAGCAGTAATTTGGAAGCCTAAACTCTGACTTTAGGAATTCATAAGAACAACCAATGTTTTACAAACTCAACAGAAAGTAAAATAAACAAACCCAGGGTTTTATGCTTCCTCTTGTTATTTTTATGGCAATCTTTCAAACTAGTTCAAAATGTTCAGTCCTCTACCCTCTCAAGAAATACTGAATGGAGGGGGGGCGGGGCGTGCGGGGAGCAAACAGCTATTTAATAGTAACTGGCATACGTTGTAATTCACCAAGGGGAATAGTGATTAGAAGGGAGCTTTGTGGGGAAAGTGTGCAGGTGGCTTTCAGGCTGGCATTGAAAATACTCTCCTTCCCAACCTTCCCATTGAGTAGGGCCCAGTAATGAAAATAAGGATGTTTATATTTACCCAGAAGTGTGCGTGGCAATTGACCATCATGGTTCTCTCGATGAGCTCATCAGGACATTCCAGAAGGTGATGCCCCGAGACCACACCGGCATTATTCACCAGGACTGAGACCTCGCCAACCTCCTTGCGGACCCTTTCGGCCGTCAAGTAGACATTCTCCCTCTTTCCCACATCACAGGTGTAGGTAAAAACCTGCAGGTTACAGTGCGGCAGGATTTCTTCCTCACCATTCCCAGCTGTCCTCAGATATCCAGATGAAGGGGGGGGGGGAGGAAAAAACATGGAACAGGGAAGGGAGGGTGGAGGGGTTGCAAAACGTGAGTCACACGGCAATCGGTAGGACAAAGATCATACAGAACAAAAACACTACAGTGAGCCTCAAGTTTCTAACACTGTAAGGCTTGCCAATGGCTGAACTTACAGCTGCCTTCCTCCCCTAAAAGTCTTGGGGAATTAGAGCAATTTGCTGGAGAACTTTGCTTCGGGGGAAATCATGTAATTGTGACAAGCCCAATACAAGTCAGACCTCATGGGATCAGCTTCCTAGAACTAAAGACACCTGGAAAGAACTGATCTCAGCCCAGAGGGGAACACCCCTCCTCCCAAACACACACATTACACACTCCTCTTTTTTGGGGGGAACAGAGGCCAGAAGCAGCTCTTAGGCTTTAGTATGAGCACCCTCAACATGGAAACACGCAAATCAAAACTGTAATTAATAATCTGAATTCATCCCAAGCCAAGAAAGGAACCTAAAGTTTCTCATGAAGCATGGAGGTCACATGGGTTTCTTCTAACTGGAGTAGCTGAACACCCGCTAAGAAAAACACCCTTACGTAAACCAAGTTCACAGGTAAACAGGCAATTTTATCACACAAGAACTCAATTTAAAAACCAAAATCTCTTCCCTGGCAAACAAATAACGATCTCTTTAAGTTTTGGCAGGAAGCACAACAATTTCTATTAGCTGCCCTCCATGTCATTGTTGAAAATGCAACATTTTTAACCTTTTGATGTTCTGACCTAGAAGGCAGGTGCCAATCATGTTGGTGACAAATGACCAATATGGGGGAGGGGTGGTGCCCAAGTTAATCTTTTCGTTATAGTTCAATGTTTTCCCAGGAAACAAAAAAATTTTTGTCAAAAAGCAATTGCCCCTATCAAATTTCCTGGACCAATACTTATGGTTGGTTATGGTCTCTGCTTTGGCTTTTAAAAAAAAAGTCTCAGATTCAGGGTAATTGATAAATATACAGAAACGCAGATTTCCTGAGGTTACCAAAAACATGGAATACATTTACAAAAAGGCGAAATCCTTCCAGCGCTTTGCCTTAAGAGGCAAGGTATCCTTGCAATCGGGCTGAGTATGTAACTGAAGTACTTAACTTATCTCTGGTGAAACAATGTAATTATTTTCTCGTGGTTAAAGTTATAGTGAAATCCGCGCGGGCCCCAGTCTAAGAGGTTCAGACCACGCTCACACACAGAGGGTGCCAAAACAACAACAACAATGTATACCCATTTTAAGATAACATCTCTTAAAACGGGTATACATTTTTTGGCACCCCGGGTATATACGTGCATCCGTCGGCTCGAAGAACTTCCCCAAGGCACTTTAGTTTCCCATCGCACGGGCGACGGAGGCATTTCTTTAGGATTCAAACCCGTGGTGACAAGTTCCCTCTGCTCTGCCGTCCCCTGTCTTCAGAGGGTTTAGGAAGCCCCACAGGGAAACCCCTGTCGTCGCCAAAGAGACACCGGACCTCGGTGAAGACCAGGGTTTGGCACACTTTTCCGCCTTTCTAACACCGAGGTGATCACGTTCCTTGATCAGGGGCAAAAATCCAATCCCAGAAGCCCGTGGCTTGGGGTGTTCTCTTCCTCGAGAGCGGGGCTGACCGTGACAGTGGGGTTTGGGAGCCCTCCCGGGTAGGGAGCCGGGCCGGGGGCGGGGG